GATGGCTAACTCATAAAGACAATAACTTAAAGCAGAAGATGTAGGTTCAAAACCAGCAACAAAGAACATAAACGAATTCGCAGCTAATATCTCGTCGGTAAATAATTCTGAAAAATTGTATAAGATGGAATCATATATTTACACAGACATGTATGTTTAGTATGCATATGTATATTTCTTTGGTCCCCGAAAAGAAGGGTTTAAATTAAGTTCAATAAAATGTTATCCAAAAAAATTCTATAATTTAAAAAATAGATAAAATGATGAAAATAAGGTAGTAATGGACGAATTCTGGAAAATTAGAGACAGTTGTTGAAACTTATAAGAATGAAAGGATATTGGAGTCGGGTGCAGCCACTGTTATTGGTAATTTAATGTTTATCTGTAAGCAGCGATAAACTATTGCTAACGAAAAATTGATTCTGAGCGCAGTTCATTTGATAGTGATGTTTTGTCAACAATAACTGTGTATATCGTATTTAAGTAAAATAATAGAATAGGCATTATATATTTTGTTTAATAATATTTGTTTAAATTATTACCGATTTTCCCATTTTTCCCATATTTTCTTTCGGTTTTTAACATTTACTGGGAATGCTCTTCGGAAAATCGAAAGGTGACCTCCCTAAAGTACTTTGCCAGTCAGATTTACTTTCAGAAAAAGTGCGATTTTCCCATTTTTCCCATAGTTTCTTCGGGTTTTTAACATTTACTGGGAATGCTCTTCGGAAAATCGAAAGGTGACCTCCTTAAAGTACTTTGCCAGTCAGATTAACTTTCAGAAAAAGTGCTATTATTGTAAATCAGAGCAAATTTACTGGTAGAAAAGTTGTCTCCTGGAAAAAAGAAGACCGACAAATTTTTCAACTTATACCTACATTTTGTACATTTTCCAGTTTTTAGTCAGTTTTTTTTTTCGGTTATTCACTCAATACGAATGTGTTTTTTACTTGTTTAGGAAAAAGGGAAAAAAAATGAAAACAATATTTTACGACACACTGGTTTGAACTCGGAACTTTCTAGACTGGTAATAGGCATAAAAAACCATTAGATCACGACAAATATACTTTAAGAGAGACAATATAGAGTTGTTTAACATAACATACATAACTTCAAGAAGCATTACTTTCAAAACTTGGTGAGTCATGTTAATTCTAACTTCACCGTTGTTTCTAAATCGGCAATATACACATATTTAAAAAGAAAAAATTGAAAAATTAGATTTGATACACTTAAATTTTTAATTTAAACATTTTTCGTCAATATTTGATGTTAAAATTCCCTTATAAAAAATAAATGCTACGTTTAACTCAACATTTGTTTTGACTACAAAGTAAGATGATTAAAGAACATTCCGTTAAATTCTTTAGCATTTCAGTTCAATTTTTACAATTTTTCTATAGAATATCTCCAAAAAAATAAATAAGTACAAAACTAGCAAAATTAAAATGACTATAAATAGCTAAAAAATGGCTTAAATTTTTGAAATTTTTACCATGTCTAAAAAAAGCAAATATAAGTTTTCTATTATTGAATTTCGATTATTTACGAATATTTTTAATTTAATTAGAACAAATAACAACATTGAAAAATAATAGTTTTAATTTCGTAAATTTTTCGTTTTTCTCACGTTTTACCCTGGTTTTTCCCAGGTATTATGAAAACCACTTGGAAAATAAAAATATGATCTTCCAAAAGATCCATTGTGATAATCTATACAGGTATAGGTATATCAATATTTGTACCATTCGATTGATGGGAATGGAGCAATACACAGTGTTGAAGATTAGAGCACTGTATTATAATATCGATGTCATCATGAAAAAATAATCATAACGGTATTATTACGCAACAGTCGAACAATGTCCGAATAATACACAATGTAGTATAGGTAGTAAAATGAATACTATAAACGTCATAACACGTATAGTCAACGGTGCAATATTAATTCTTTTGTGGTAGGTAAATTACTCAATACGGTCTTTAAAAACAATTAAAAAGGTTATGTCGTATTTAAAAAATTATGTAATCGTCGTTTCCTTTATCGTTTCTTGTACAAGACTCTTTTTTTGCAATGAACATTTCAAAATTCTAAATATAGCGAAAAATATATTAGTTTTACTATATTATGATGTGTGCATTTGGTATCATTTGTATCTCTCTGTAAACAATTCTTCTACCAAAAATGTTGCCCTAATTTTTAAAATGTGATGTCAGAAAATGATTTTCCAAATGCTTCACGAGGATACCTTAACGATATTTCTATAGAATTGTTGTACACATGATAAAAATATAAAAAAAAAATTCAAACATCCTAGTAAGACCAATACATACTTGGCTACATTCAGAATCTAAAAATTACATGAGAAATTTATAAAAATCAACGATTGAACTGAGCACTTCGTTCTTAGTTTCAAAGATTTAATTTCACTATTTCAGTTTTAATGTACACATTAAAATACTTGTATATTAAAAATTTTTTAAAAATAATGGACGAACTTTGGTTGAAGTTCCCGGAAGAAAACTTTTAAATATTCGATTTCCGTTACGCATATATCTTAATTAAAATTAATTGTAATCGAATGCTGTACACAACCATAAGCTAT